TTTCAGAAAATATTCTCCCTGGTACCCCTTTGTTGTCAACCCCTCTCATTACCTCCAAGCCGCTGGAAGCTACTGATGTGTTTTCTGTCCCTTTAGTTTTGCCCTTTCCAGAATGTCACAGAGAGGGAATCCTGAAGTCTGGCTTCTTTCACTTACTGTATAATGCATCGAGACTTATTGAAGCTGAGGGTGTCTGTCACTGGTTCATTTATCCTCACTGTTTAGTGTTGAATTGGATGGATATACCACAGTTTGTTTATCCATTCCCCAGTTGAGGGACATCTGGGCGGTTTCCAATTTTGGCAAATGCTAATAAAGCTACTAAAAGCATCCACATACAGGTTTTTAGAGAAACATCAGTTTTCATTCATTAGGTAAGTACCTGGCAGTGGGATTGCTGGGTTGTATTCTTACGATAGTAGAAACAGAATAACAGTGTTAGAAACTGGCTTTAATACGTATAAAATATTGGAGGTTTTCTGAAAATCACTGCATCTTTGCAGATGTCCTTCCTGGCACTCCTTGGAGCCACCGTTATTTTCCGAGGGCCCTGCTTTCCTGGAAGTTTCTAGTAAACTGCCGCAAAGTAAGTTCAGGTCAAACGTGTTTATAGTTCACTCGCTGAGTCAATAAAAAAAATGTTTTTAGCCTCTAGGCGCAGGCAATAGGATATGGTTTTCCCCAGTTGTCATTAAGAAATCCTTCCTTTGTCTCTCTTCTCGGGAAGAAAAAATCTAAAAATATTCCCAGCTCCTGGGAGAGAAAACATGAGCCAGTCAGATTCCCTTTGATGCATACGTGAGGTTTGTCTGATGGCCCTTTCTGGTATCTCTTAAATCACAGAATTTAAAAGTCCAGGCTCTTCCATATCTTTTATGCAGTTGTGCCACTGGGGTTGCAAATCTGATTCTCACATATCGGTTCTCGTCATTCTCGGCTCTTCTGCTTTATCATTGGATAGTGTGAAGCTTTTCCTCCGAACTGCTCCTCTGTTTCATGAGCATGATAATGATGCTCCTGGTTCTCCTCCCCTCTTTCTGGTGGCTCCTTCTCAGGCTGGTGGCATGCTGCGTCCCCCACCACTCCCCAGATGTGGATTCCTCCTGGGGACGGGCCCTCTTACCTCATCTTGTTTTGCGTGCTCTCGGGAAAATCTCGCCTACTCCCATTGCTTTAACCATCCCCTACTTCAAAGCTATTTTCAAATACATCTTAGGCCTATATGAAGCTTCGGGTCCTTACTTTAATATCCGTCAAAGATGTGACTCTCTGAAGATTGCACTGATACCTCCAATTAAAAATATCCAAAGTCCACCTCGTTGTCTTACTCACCATCTCCCCAGCCTGTTCTTCTCCCTGTATTTATTCTTAAGGTTATTAATGC